CCTTAGCCACTTGAGCCACAGGCCGGGAGCTGAGACTTATGTTACACTGTAGCATTTTGTCACCCCTGGGCTAGAAAGAACATCAGGCTCCTTCCCTGTCACCCTACTGCCCTCTGGTTGACTTACAGTTCATAAAGCCCCCTTAGGTCAGCCTGCAATCATCACTGTGGGTAGGCTGGGCTAGCAAGGATCAACATTGCCAAGGCAAGTTAGGGCTGATAGAGGTCAGGCTAATACCCAGCATCATACCTTTGTGAGTGGCAGAGACAAGACCAGGCACCGGGAGTCATGAGCCCCAGGCTAACCCCTTCCTTACCCAGAGTCCAAGAGACTAACCACTGATGGGACAGAGAACCAGCCTTACTATGGGCCTGGGCACTTGAGCCCTTTTCCTTCTCCTTCCTGTCTTTTTTTCCCTTTCTTCCTCTTCCCCTGCAAACAGCTTTATTGAGGTGTAACTGACATACAATCAATTGCACATATTTAAAGAATACGATTTGACATGTTCCGACATACTTGTACACCCATGAAACCATTACCACGATCAAGACAAAGAGCATATCCATCGCTTCAAACACTCCTTTGTGCCCCTTAGAAATCATTGCCTCCCATTCACACCTCATCCCATCCCCAGGCAACCTCTGAACTACTTTCTATCCCTAAGATTAGTTTGAATTTTCTGTAAGTTTATATATATGGAATCATATGGAAGGTACTCTCTCTACCTCTCTCTTTTTTATTGGCTTCTTATACTCAGCCATTTATTCTGAGAATCATCCGTGTTGCATGTAACTTGCCTCACCTGGCACCAGCTTCTTTCTACAGCCATGGCCTTTGGTTTTTCCCAACAGGAAGTCCCTCCCAGTCTCAAGTGTTTTTGTCGCTTTAGCAGGGACAAGGTAATCTAGCAAAAGGCCTCAGAAAACCAAAGTTTAAGCCATTCATTCATTCCTCAAATATTTATTGAGCAACCAATATATGCCAAGCATGATGATAATCAACCAAGGATACCCTAGACAGGACAGAGTCAGCTCAAGTTACTGAGTTACAATAAATATTTGCTGAATAAATGAAGGAAATCCAAGGAATCTCATTTAACACTAGAGCCACGGCAGCAACAGGTGAAACAGAACGAGTATACATCTGGAAGGAGAAGACCTGGTTCCAGGCACCACTCCGTCATGCATCCTTTACGCCAAGTCCCTTAACTTCTCTCACTGGTAAAACAAGAACAGTAATCTTCATTCTACCTCACTGGGTTATTTTAGAGATTACAGAGGTAATAATATCTGTAACGACATTCTATAAAATGCAAAGCGCCACGCCACATGAAAGTGAAAGTATATTATGGTTTAGCCAACCATGAGGCAGGAATGCATGAGCGTAATAGCTACTATGTTGCAAGCCTGCTATTCCTGCCTTTGTGCTAGGTGCATCTCAGCATGATCTGATTTTACTCTCAGAACAATCTTGCATGAGAATAAGTATCCCAACCTTACAACATGAGGAAATTGAGGCCTGTAGTGATTAAGTAACTTGTCCAAAATGACAGAACTAGTGCATGGAATGGGAGGAATTGGAATTGATGTCTGTTTGGCTCCAAAGATACCCCACATATGTATGTCTTGTGCACAGCTACTGGCGAAGAGTTATTCCACCTGGCCGCAGGGCCCAGCAATCTTCTGCTCCGTTTTCTTGCACCTGAGTACAACCATTTATTCATCAGCGTACCACTTTCAGCTCACGTTGGAGAGCCAAATAGCCTTTAAAGAGGCAAGGATGCAAACTTGCTAAACAAATAAATCCAAGCATAATTTTCGTCTTGTAAACCATCCAACAAGACATTTTAAATGTTATTAAATACCCTTATTGCACTTTATGGAACTGACTGCTAGGCTTGCAAGGGACATTAAAGCCAGCTCATTCCATCCCTGGTTGCCCAGACTATGCCTGGCATCCCAAGGGAAGGGACACTCATCCCTCCCCAAGGGCACCCGTTTCCTCCTTGGATGGTTTATTAAAATGTTCTCATTGGCTAATTCATTCCACTAAATGTATTACCTAATCTGTGACAGACATGGGGTGACATGATGGGGAGACAAACCTAAATAAAACATAGTTCTGGTATTCAAGGAGCCAGATGGACTAATCTCTCTCCCTGTAGTGTACAATGATCTCCACCCAGATATCGATTTATGAAAATTCATTTTATAACACAATTTTCCAGGCGTCTTGTGCCTTTGCTAACAAGAATAAACTGCTCCCTTCAATTCCTTATTTCATTTTAACAAATGGTAGAGTTTACTTCATGCTTTGCAAAGCGTAAGAATGACTGACACCCACTTTTAAAAGTGAATTCCACAATTAACCTTTCTGAGGCCAAGTGAAGGATTCCTGAGTGGGGAGTCTACCATGGGCATCCTGTTCTGAATATAGCAGGAAGGACAGAAAAAGTAAGGGGTTCAATGACTTAGGTGGACTGGATCTTTCTATGCGCACAGCTCTATCTTTTAAGTACTAAACACATAACTCTGGAAGTAGTTGCTAGAAGAATTAGGGTGGGGAGAGATCATGGGGTTGGAGAGGTCAGGGAGAATGGAACTTGGAGTTGGGTGGGACTTGGTTAAGTCACAGCAGGTGCAAGATTCCAAGCAAGGGGAAGATTGGGAGCAAGAACGAAGGAAGGATAAGGGGGCTGCAAGTCTGAAAAGGCTGAAAGGGGGCCAGAGGGATTTCAAATTCATCCTACAGGCAATGGAAGCTTCCAAAGGTTTAGGTGGGAGAAATGATGCCATAAAATTAAAGTTTTAGGCTCGGCGCCTAGAGCTCAACCGGCTAAGGCGCCAGCCACATACACCTAAGGTGGCGGGTTCGAATCCCCAGCCCGGGCCACCAAACAACAATGATGGCTGCAACCAAAAAAAAAAAAATGGCCAGGTGTTGTGGCGGGCGCCTGTAGTCCCAGCTACTTGGGAGGCTGAGGCAGAAGACTTGTTTGAGCCCAGGAGTTGGAGGTTGCTGTGAGCTGTAATGCCACGGCACTCTGCCCACGGGGATAGCTTGAGGCCCTGTCTCAAAAAAAAAAAAAAATTAAAGTTTTAGACTTAAGTAGAATGATAGGATTAGGCTAAGCGTGTAGGATGGATTCCGAAATCACTGCAATCTGCTGAAGATCATCCATTGACTTCTGAACGAGTATTTGAAGTTTACTTTCTCAATGATTTTATTGCCAAGAAATATAAATACCACTACTGTTTTGGTAGAAAAACACAACAGAATGTGTTAAGCATCCCTCTTGCTGTTTTATGTAGACCAGGTTTTAAAAACTTAGCCTTGCCACACTGGTATCACCCTTGCTTCTGATTTAAAACAAATGTTCTAGATACCCAGTAGGGGTCCAACAAATGCTTGTTCAACCAAAACAAGGAGAACCAGCTTTTAAAGTAAAGTTGGAAAACAGATTAGGAGCCTGCCAACAGACTCCTCCTGTCTCAGCAAGGCCCAGTGAAAAAGAGCATCCTTCTAACAGCGAGATCCGAATTCTGGTCCTAGCTCACCCACTGACAGGCTGGTGCTCTTGGGCAGGTCACTTGACTTCTTTGGGGCTGTTTCTTCATCTATAAAAAAAGATCAAATGGTTCTAGGAGTATGAGCTCTAGAGTCAGTGCCGGCTCTGTGACCTTGTAGAGCTTTGGTCTCCCTATCTCTGCAAAGGGAGGTAACAGTGACTCATGGGGTTCATAGGAGGATTTTTTGGGGTTTTGTTTTTTTTTGCATTTTTTGTCTGAGGCTGGGTTTGAACCTACCACCTCCAGCATATGGGGCCAGTGCCCTACTCCTTTGAGCCACAGGTGCCGCCGGATAGGAGGGTTTAAAGGAAATAATTTGGGTAAAATGTTAATACACTGACCCAAAGAAAATACCCTATAAGCATTAGCTATCCTGATTTCCAGTTCTAGAATTCTATGATCTGCAGTTATTCAATGTGCAATGGCGGTTTATGGCAGGCTGTAATGTGGCACAACCAAAAGACTCAGGAAATAGCTTGCAGAAGAGAAGTCCCAGGGAAGACCTAAGGAAGACCTAAGAATTCTCTTCAAACACTTGAAAGATTTGCATGTAGAAGAAAAATATTTTTTTCCTATGCTTCTCCAAAGAACTGGATTGGGCTCAGGGGGTGATACGGTATAAATTTCTAATAATTTTAACTGTCTGCCAAATGGAAGGAGCTAGTTCATATGGCAGAAGTGAGTTCCCTGTCACTAGAAGCATGAAAACAAAAGCCGGATGACTGTTTGTCGTGTAAAGAG